GGGAAATCAGTGTAGGTGCAAGAGAGACGCTCCCCGTGCTGCAGAACCGGGGCGCTGGGCACACGCCCAATACAGACAGGGATGTAGGTGGTGGCATGGCATCTGCATTCCGAAATATTTCTTGCTGTGGCTCCTAAACATTTCTGCATCGCAGCTAAAAACGCTGAGACACAGAGATGGGCTGACTATATTACTTTCTAAAGATGAACGTTTTTCTCACCCCTACTTTAATGCACTAATTAATTTCTGCAGTCCAATGGCTAACACCCCCTAACAGCACTTCTTCTACGTCCCACCCAGTAGGAACTAACAGCGTCTTTTTTAGTGCTCTCCTTTAATACCACGTTATTAGTGTGTTTTCTATTTGCCCTCCCTCCTTTCCCCAGGGAGGAGCGAGTGTTTCTGCAGGGACCGGAGAGAAGGCAAACCCCATCCATTTACAGGCAGAAGGGACAAGCAAGACCCCACGGGCTGTGAGGGAGCACGGCTCACCTCCGACAGCTCAACCGGTCTGCACCAGGAAAGCTGGGAAGCCGCGTGTGTTTGCTGATGACACTTGAGGCAGATTAACTAAGAAAGACACCTTCAGGACTGAAACAGATATCTGAAGAGATAAATAAAGAGCTTTTCCTCAACCTCCTTTTTCTATGCCAAAATACTTGGATCTGGGAAAACACCCTCAGAGAAAACAAAAAGTTTAAAATAGGAGCCAGTTTGGCGCTGTCAAGCCAAAAGGAGCTCCAAAAGGAGCCCTGTCAAGGCGCGGGATGCTTCTCACCAGCGCTGCTTTACATCGGTGAGGCAAATAAACACCAACGCAGGGCAGAAGTCACCTCCACCCTCACCGACATCGCAGTGAATTGGCTGGGAGTATCCAACAGTCCCAAACCACCAACCGATCGCTGCTTCAGATACCATTACCGCCAGCTTCACCGGACCTCTCCCCCCAGACTCGAACCAGCTTGTGTCCCAAGACCTCCTAAATTACCTGTTTTTTTCTAGCTTGAAGTTAGCACTTGGGGTGCAATCGGGATCTTTTACATGGAGGTGGAGCAAGCAGCCCCCTCTCAACCTTTTTTGAAGGCACAGCTGTTTAACCTCAGAGAAAGCCTGCATGCTTATTTAGAATAGAGACCAGAGTACTTCCAAACTGCAGGATTCCAACTACTGTGGCTCTTCCTTTACATAAGGGAGAAAACCCACCATCGCAGCCCCTTCGCAAAAGAGACGGAAGTAATTACAGACGATACTCTCTGTACATCATTCCACCTAATAGTTCCAGGCACACTGCCTAGCCCTGTGCAGAGAAAGAACGTCTCCCTCTATTTCCCTGAAGAGATCAGTCCATCATATTTTTGCAGGAAGCACTTAGTTCTTGTTAAGTCCAATTTACAGCAGGGTGAAGGTACCCGAAATAACAGTTTGCATTTTGGTATTTGAGATTTTATTGCACGGGGCAACCCTTGGCCGAATCGAATCAATAAAATATACTTTGGAAAAAGAGATTCTTACACACGATCAATTCACAAAACCTTTTCTGCTCCCCAGCTTTTCCCCGTACCCTGCTGAGTAAAATGCATTAGCATCTCAAATGTTATGGGGAGGCAAAGAGGTGATCCCGGAGAGGACGACAGCCAGACAGCGGTGGTAACAGCTGAACAGGTAACTGCTGTGCACCCTTGAGGCCCAAAGCACAGCCATCGGCTTGTTCCATGGACTGAATAAACCCACCCGCAATGTTACAGCTGTTGTGATTCGAATCATACATAAATTCAGATCAATAATTCTAACGCAGCTGTATTTATGGAGTCATGAACTGTCAGCCGAGCGTAAAGCTGTTAGATAAATGTGATATGGGATATCACAGAATCATGGAACAGTTTAGGTTGGCAGGGAGCTTAAAGCCCTCCAGTCCCACCTCCTGCCATGGGCAGGGACAACTTCCATCAGCCCAGGGTGCTCCAAGCCTCATCCAGCCTGGCCTTGGACACTCCCAGGGATGGGGCATCCACAGCTTCTCTGGGCAGCCTGTCCCAGTGCCTCCCCACCCTCTGCGGGAAGAATTTCTTCCTGATGTCCAATCACAGCCTCCCTCTTTCCATTTAAACCCATTACCCCTGGTCCTGTCAGGTATCTCTGATCTCACAAAAATAAAGAAATGGAAGTCTCAATATTTTTGTTTACTATCAATCCTGAAATACAAAACCCAATAAATTGTCCTTTTTCCTCATTTCCTCCCATATCTCTAGGTAATATCATCAAGAATTACATTTGTTTTAGAAAGCTTCTAGCTCTTCCACTCTTGGTTATTTTTAACTTTGACTATTCTGAATTAAGGCAACTGAAAACGATACAACTCTAATGAGCCAATCTGGCTTCCCAGGCCACAGCACCATCACGTCAAGACACGTTCAGAGCAACAGCGGACAGCCAAAGTCCTGCGTGGGCTCTCCCGTGCTCACCAAGCAGAACCTTGCACCTGCTGCCGCAGCTATTTCCATTGGTTGCACACCCTCAGCTTTACCTTTTCTAGGCAAACTGGTGTAAAGCTGGTCCTGCGGGCACGCTCGCAGCTCCAGGTATGCACGCTCTATCATCACCGACCCCAGACTCTTCTTGTAATTGATTGTATTGCCATTAATTTAGTAAATAAAATAGAACTGGTGCTCTCGTATTGTTATTAAATGAGTTGGCCTTGGGGTTTTGTAATTGTAAATTCCTATTTCTATGGATAAGCATGATGAACGTGCAACCTAATCCCCAGTCATCAGTACAGACCAGCTAGTAACTCAAACGGAGTGAAGTCATGCCACGTACCTATTCTGCACTTACACAGAACTTTCTACGTCCTGTTTTGAATGGAAACAAACATGCAGATTGATTAATTTATACAGAAAACCATTAAGCTCTGGAATGAAAGTAGGATGAGTCATAAGAGCTCTAGAAAAACCAATGAACAATCGAGTCCTTCACTGAGCATTCGCTGCAGATGTGTCTACCCAAAAAACCATGATTCCTGAAAGAGTCGTCATCCACAATCTCAAAGTCTCACTGTCTTAAACACCAAAACATAAAAAAATATTTTTCCCTTTTCTTCTGAACCAGTAAAAATACACAAACCATAAAACCTAAAACAATTGCATTTCAATCATGTTAATCCCTACTTCTTAAATAGGCTTATGATGTTATAAATTAAACAGCCAGTAATTAAATAGGGTGCTATCTCTTTTTAAAATAGGTGTTCTTAACTCACTGAAGAATCTGTATTCCTGCACTGGACATTAATGCAACCAGTAATGATGAGCTATTTAATTTACAGCTCTGGAAGGGCTTGGAGAGGGAGGTAATATGACACAAACACAAGTAGGGGGAAAGCACTTTTGATCTTGCTTTGCACTTGCTGATGTGCAAATCTTACCCGAATAGGTCAGAAAAGGGCCACTGAAGCAGACACACAAGGTTGTTGCAGCTTGGGATGAAGAGACTTGAAACATCTGTACGCTCCTGGTACTTCTTTCAATAGATTTCATGAACAGTACCTGTTCTGAGTGCAGTTCTGTTCTGTTCAGTACCTGCTGTGAGTGCAGCCTCCACTCCATTGCTTCACCTCATCCTTGCAACGGCTGACTGTTGCACCAGGCATTTTTAGGAAGCTGAGTGACTTTGCTGCCTCTGCTGTGCTTCCAACTGGCCCAAGAACAAAAGAGCAGGAGTGAGTTGAGACCCCGAACGCTGTATCACCACCAGACTGGTCTTCAAAAACTGCTGACATTACATTACAAATCTCTGCCAGGCTTCATAAATTTAACATTAAACACTTGCCATTAGTGATATTTTGGGCTCGGTTCTGAAACTAGTAAGTGCTTTCTGCAAGTCGATGGAAGGTGAAGGTGTTCGCTTTGCCACACGTCAGCGCACCACCGCGGAGCTTCCACCCAGCGACATCGAAGCTGTTGTTTTATTCAGCAGTCAGGTAGATCCATGGAGATCACCTCATGCATCAGCTGTTAGATACACTTAATAAAAACAAATAAAGGGGTGGGTTTTTTTTAAAAAGAAATTTATGAACTTGGCAAAAAAGTGTCATAAAATGATTTACAAAACAGAAGAAATTTGCCAGATATACAGATATTTAACATTTTGATGGTAATGTTTGAAAGATCCATGTTACACAATTATGAATAACCCGCTCACATGTTTGTAATGCAAAGTGTTTCTGCAAAGAACATCTAACATATGCAGCCACTTTTGTATGTAAAACAATGAAAAATATATCTTGATGTAATAACACAAATATAAGACCAATATTTTGAAATCAAGTGCTTTGGGCAGAAAAAATATGCAGAAAGCCCTTCCTTACTTTAAACGAATATGATATTTTAACCCTAAGGAAGCTCTCAATTATAGCTGTTAGATGCTACAAAGCCAACCAACAATGCTGCTTGTTACTCCAAACAACATTCAAAGCACATTCCACAGCTTTTTGAACAATTACCTCAGAAAATACCCTTTATTGCTATCTAGTTTGCTACAGTGACAAACCTGAGTTGCTAGAGTAATCTGAGATCACCCATTAAGAACTCGCTCGTACATAGGCACCCACAGAAATACGTATTACTGGAACCGTGAGGGAAATAATGCACTTTTGTACTTCAGAGGTGCAAGCTCCTTTTTTAATTTTCAACACTTGCAGTTTGCTAGATTTGTTTTAGGGCAATTTAAACAAGTCTTTTCAGAGGTCCCTGAGGTTGCAGAAATAGCCAAACTACTAAACTAGGCACTTGAACAGGGAAATCGGTACTTAATTAGGGGCAACCAAGGTTAAATAATTTTAATGGCAATGAAAACTTAAAAGCCACCAACAGAAAGACAGTTAATTTCCCTTTTTTCCTATATATGTATTATGGACTACAACGTAGCTACTCACAGAAGGTAGGGCATTAGAACATCAGCCCAGCTCAGAATGAAGCTGTAGTAAACAATTCTGCCTGTCATCCAACAATTAACAAGAACTATCCCAATTCTCACTCCCATTTCCCACAGATTGCTTGCCGCGGCTTTTTTGTTTTTTTGTCAAAATATGCCAGTACAAAATATCCAAGAAGCGCTTCTGAAGGTGAGCAGAAGGACAGCTATTGCTGTACAGTTACACTAGCTCTCACTGCGGGACTGGCTGCTGCTCGTTCTCTTTCTTTAGCAATTTCCATCTCTATTTTGGCTTTGATTTTGTTCCAGTCAACTTCCAGCTGTAAGAAGAGAAAAGCGAGTACACAGAGGTCAACTAACGTTACGTAGAGAGGTAAACCAGAGAATTATTCAGCAACAGGACAATTTGAAGTTGCAATTAGAAAGTGACCATATCAACCATGATATAGTTCTACATGTGTAAGTGACAACTTACCCTAACGGAATACATGAAGGCACAGTTGAGTTCTAACAAACCCTTTAAAATAACAAAAGCTCGATATATGTTAACAAATACTAATACATCTCATTGTGTCTGGCAAAAAAACCCCATTAAAACACAAAAATAACTTGGAACAACTTGCATCTGATCTCAGCGTAACGACATCCGTGTCGTATTACTGGGAACACAGCCCTTTATCAATAATACACGCAGTGATGTCTTCTGACTGCACCTGAAGTCCACCAAGTAAACCGACAGCATACTACGTTAGTTATCTGATACAACAGAAATCAGATTTCTGCTTGAAATCTGTCTTCTGCATCACTACATGTTTTAGCTTTAGCTTGGCACTTCTCCAGCTGCAGAGAACCGTCATCTTCCGGCTGCATTCTGTTTCAGTGAAACTTCAGACAACAGCTACAGCACAGTATCCGTGGTACAAGAGGGGTACAACAGTTGCCTTTCTTTCCAAAGATGCTTGACAAGAAAGAATGGATCGTGGTGCAGTTGATGACTACAAAAACATGTCCAAAAACCGGGCAAATAGGTAATTGCGCAGTTCAGTTTCGTTGCTGGAGAATTAAGACTGTCAAAGATCGGGTGGGAAAAAATAAAAATCACTACTGCAGCACAGGGAATTTTCAGAGTAGCTGTTGTTCCGTTAACTATGTCATGAAGTAAAGAGGAACCATCTCTGCGAGGGAAGATGTAACTGCAATACCCACGTTCTCATGTGGAAAGGTTAATACCTCAGTTCAGGATGCATTTACTGGGTCCAGGTGCTTTGGATCTGATGACTGAAATCTTTATGGAGCTCTAAGGAAGAATGTGTTTGCTTTAACAGATGTCACGCAGATGCTAAACACACCACATACAGGGCTAATTCTGCCATCTAGCCCACAGCTACTTGCCAGAGAAGCCAATCACCCTTGCCAGTGACACCTACTAACTGCCAAGATATGGATTCTCAGTATACACAGGGGGATCGTAATACCTTACATATAAAGACGTGAGATATCGCAACTAAGCACATTGTTTAGATTCCGTATCTGACTGCACATCAGTGCTCTCAGCTGCAGTACAGAAAACAGGTAAAAACTCCTCACTTCAGCCTGAAGGAGCTTTATGTGGTGAGAGGGAAACTGAGACCCCTTTTTTCCCCCCATGAGAAGGAACAGCAGCACAAAATCTTGCTCTTCTCTTTAATGCCCTTCACATTCCCTTCTAACTTTGCTATATGAGCCTGACAGGCTGCATTAAGAATTTAGTTACCACTGTAGCCAAGAGCTTAAAATCCACTTCATTAAGTAGGTTCCCCTCCTGGTTTCAGATCCAGCACATGGATGAGGAAAAGGACTTCTTTACTCCAGGAACCTTCTGCACGCTGAGACCTGAGTCCAAGACTGAACATGAGGTGAAACAGGCTGCACTTGCATCACCCTGCTCACACCCCGTCACTGACAAGGAACCCTTCCAGAAACTATGGCTTTCCTGATTTAAAGACAAGACAGTATTATCTAAAATGTCTCTTTCAGAAGCATCAGGAGATTAACATGGTTTTTGCTCAATAATGGATTTAATGTACGTAGAAGCCATGCTTCCAGCATAAGCAGCCAAAATTGCTGCACGATGAGAGTCTTGGAATCTGTTCTGTTATTTTTCTGTATTTCCTACGTAAAGCAGTGCACAATAGTTCACAGGAGGGCTGGATATTGTGCAGATTTTTATTCCTGTTTAGGAAATGAAACATCTTTACAAGTGCTAAAAGCTAACGACTTACATTAGAAATAAGCTTTATTGAAAGTGCAATGGGCACCGGATCTGAACTAACAGCTCAGTTGTATTTCCTGATCCATCAGCCACTGTGGTTGAAAGGATCTAACACGGTCAAAGTACATGTCTCTCTCTACAGTTTCACCCTCAGAAGGCTCAGGAACGGCGAGGGAAGGAGCAGGAGGGACAGAAGGGCTGCTCAATGGAATTCCTGTCTGAGGTGCAGATGTGGTGCCTCTCATAAAGGAAACGTGCAGCACTCCTCTGGTGGAATCTAAGATCGTTTTAGTTAATGAACTCTAAGATCTCTCCTCAGTTTTTAGGATCTCTAAAATTTTAGATCTCTAAAGCTAATAAACTGGTATGACCTACTGATGATGGAGGGGATTTCCAGAGGTTTGATGAAATTGTATATTTACTTATTTGTCGTATTTGGTTCAGAGTTCACTCTTAATATGTATCTGGACACCTTCAAAGTTTGTTATTGTTGCCATCCATAACATTACATTACAATGTTGAAGACATTTAAGAGGTACACATTCAACCACACTAAGGTCTAACTCCTTGTTTATAGAAAACAACTGTGCCTTCGTTCCTATAATCCTTGCCAGATACTAAATATATACATTCTGTATCTGTGCCTTCAAATAAAACACATGCACAACTATCACTAGCCAAGTAGCCACACATCGAGCTATGAACTTGTGTTCAGATGTAAGAACTTAAGATTCATGTCCACATTTGAACCAAAGAAAGAAAATGGAAGAGTAGTTCCACCCCTCCCTCCCCAGACGTGTTACAAAAAGCAGGCTGACCTAAAGCTGCAGGAATAATGCTGAGGAATACTTACACCTTCTGCATACTGCAAAAATCTTTTGTTCGTTTCTTTTTTCCCAAAATCCTCTAGGAACTTCTGTCGATAAGCCAGGACTGTGTCAACATGTGTCTTGTGCTTTACTGCTAGTTCTAGGGCCCTGGAACAAAACAGAAATGGGCTCGTCAGGCTATGCAAATGCTCTGGCACAACTACAGTCACCATGGTTTTGCAAAAGGATACGCTGAGAAGCGTTAGGGCTGCAGGCAGAGATCCTTCATCTATAGTGCCAAGCGGTTTTACGTTAGCATCAGTCACAGGAGGCTAAAAGCAGCCAGCAAAGGAGACCGTCTACTTGATGATGCGTGCTATGAAAAACGTCCAACAATTATTTCTGCTGACAACCTCATCACATCACTGGAGTTTGACAAGAGGAGTCTTTTTATTTCAGGGAAAGAAAACAGAATGGGTAGAGTTTAGCACGTTCATTATAAAGGAGAAAAAGTAGTAATTATTAATAACTTTACTATGGTCAGGAATCGCTCCTGAAGAGTGTCATAATACACATCTATGGCATATGCCATGCAGCAATTACAAATATTCTCTAGGCGGGAAAGATCAGTCACTGTATTAGTATAACTGGTAATTCCCACAGCTGTTGTCTTCTCAGTGGCGTAAGGAATACTTATGTTTGACATACACAGATTTTAGGTGATACATATTAGGCGACATAATAAAAACAACACAGCTATGTGGGGGAAAAACAACTTTTTGCCCACGGTGATAAGAATATAATAGCAGAGAATTAGTAGTAAGTGGCCTTGGAGGATTCTGTTAGAAAACGTGTGTTTTTGTTTAACGGAGAAATTCCTACTTTGTTTTCTCAGGCCTAATTCATATTTCTTCCACCTACACAGTGCTGGGAGCCTGAACAATATCTATTTTCAGCAACAAGACATTTCAAAACAGCCTTAATTCTGAAGGTCATGTACTGTCTGAGGTATCATGAAGGACTTTTCTCTGTTAACAATGATGATAATTAAAAATGCTTCCAAGCATGTTTTGGACTTTTATCACAGAATACTGGTATCTTCTGAACATGACAGAAAAAAAGTTACCACTTTGGTTATTGTCAGGATGTTTTTTTACTTCATCTTTTACAGAGGAATTACAGATAAGTGAGCTAAGTATCTGCTCTAAAACAACGGATCTAAATAATTTACAGGTTACCTCAGTAAGACTGCTTATAATCGAAGAAACACTACCTGTCCCAGTTGTAAAGGTTAATGTTGACTTGAATAGCTTGATAAATAAGGCCTGCTTGGAGAAGCAGGGTTTCAGCTTCTTGGGTGTTTCCACTGAACAGCAAGATATGAGCCGTCCTTGACTCTTTTGATGGAAGATCTTTGATGAAATTGATATACTGTACTTTGTCAATCTGTTAACGAGAGGTACAATAGTTTCATAACGGGAATTAATTATTAAAATTAGTTTTGCAGCAGTTTAACTGGAAATAAATAACGAAACCTTCTTACCTCACCAATGGATGCATAGGCGATCTCTGCTGTAGCCATGTCTTTGTTGGCAACTGCCATAGCAGCTAAACACGCCCACAGAGTTTGATCCTGGAATTTAAAAAAAAAATGCAACTTCTAAAACTTCAAGCATTTATTATCATGCCAAAAATGACCTCTCAAAGGAAGCAGACATATCCTGAAAATAAAGCGTTACCCCACGTCTCTCAGCATGCCATTCACGGCACCATGCTCTAAGACTCTCACTAGAAAGACACTGCTTAATTATTTCTCAGAACTCCTTCATTATAAAAACAATGATGTTGTGATCAGCTGAGACTGACAGCGTGGCCAAACGAATCATCAGTTTTCAGTATCTCAGCTCAGCCTGAAATTCGGTAAGAGGCCAGGTTTCCAGGAGTTTTTCACCAATAGGTCTTGCTGTTCTCTCTTTCCTCAGAGGGATGATCTTTTTGTTACTACTGATTGGAAATACTTTGAACTGTCCATCTATCAGAGTTGCCAGAATCACCAAAATAGCCCTGTATGGCCATTAAGAGTTTAGAAGTCATGAAAGATAAAGTTCAAGGCAAGTCCAGCAGTGATGAGACTGTTTACTGGGTATTCCAGGTCATCCTTCAGCCCAATCACAAATTGTGAAATAGAAAAGATACTCACACCACGTAGTTTAGGCCAGTTTGGATTACACCTTACATCAAAGGCAAAACTTTGTTTTGAAACCAATGGAAAGGAGAAGCCTTCAAAGACTGAGCCCATGGTACCTAACTTAGCCGCTTAAAACCAGATTATGTGAATACTCTTCACGCTGAAAATAAAGATGCTTTTAACAGTTTTTCTTGAGAGAAAGGCCCTCCTCAGTTGATGACAGATATGGACTAATGAGGAAAAGCTCATAAAAAAACAGGGACAGTGAAAACCCATGATATTGATATTAGGATTTCATTTAAAAAGATCAGAAAATTTTAAATATTTTTCCTTTTAAGTTTAATTAAGCTCATAGGATGACTCTGCCCAGAAGAATGAGGAGAAAGCATGAAGTTTGAAAAAAAGTCCTTGAATTAGGAAACTGTCATATTAATCAAAATGAAACAATATTATGAATATTACCATCCTATCCAGATGTTTTATTTTTAAAGATGATACAGTTAGAGTACTCAAAAAAGTTAACATAGTACTGAATTTTAAGTCCCAATTCCCACTGCTAAAAACTGGGATGAAATCCTAACATTAATGGTGTAATACCCAAAATAAAAATCATTATACAACCTAAATTATCTGGATGTGTATTGATTTAATAATGCAAAAAGATTTTAAATACACGTTTATGGTCATGATAGTCATATGAAAGTGCTAAACTCTTTTCTAGGAGTAAATGGGGGAAAGGAAGCAGACCTTGGGGAGATTTTTCTCTGTTTTAAAGACTGCAGGACTCACCTCATCTGTTGCTGTTGCCTTAATACATACACAAAAGAAAGCAAAGGAAAAAAAGAAACACAAACAAAACCAAGTGAAATAAAATATGAAAGAATACCAGGCAACTGCTTGTGGAGATTTCTAATTGGTTACATTAAGGCCTAGTCTTGAAAACTTAAGCATATTACTAACTTCTTGGAGTACCTGTGTTCAATCCATCTGGACTGTGGTGTGAATAAAACTATGCATTTTTATTATGTATAATGAAAGTTATGACATTATGTATACTGTGTAATTAGGAAAATATATAATTTTTCATTGCCAGCCCAAATATAATCAGCAACAAAGCAGAAGAATGGAAATGAGATGTAACATCTGATATGCAATTATGATTATTACAGTAATACTTGAAAACATACATACTACAGTGAGATTATCTCCTGAACATTCCCGATAATCAGCATTTACCTTGACAAAGCGACACAATCTGACAGCATCTTCCCATTTAGAACTACTAACGTATTCATGAAGAATTGCAGGGTAAGGTGAAATATTAAGGTGAATAAGTGAACCATCTGCTCTTCTAATTGTTACTTGATTTCCTACAAAATGTAAAATCTGGGGATTTTTGCTGAATTCACTGGGAAGAGAAAGAAAGGTAAGTTAATATTCACTTCTTCCTTACTGAACAGAACATGAGGAATTTAAAGAAACCTTTGCTTGAAAAGTACATCATGATTAAATTTCATTTTCAGAGCACACAAAAATCAAAGCACCTAGTTATTCAACAGTTATATCCAACAGGTAGTTGTCATATTCTCTAAAACCACATTGACGTCATGCACATTCGCTGGCTATATTTGTGAAAAATTTCAAATACATTTTTCAGTAAAACAGCATTTGGACTCCCACAACTCTTAGAATGAAATAAGGAATTTAGGTATTCTTTGTGAAGAATTTCATATCACAAAGTATACAGGCTGATGTAAACATGCTGAGCTAGACATACTATTATCTGTGACTTACTAGCTGGATCCTTTTAATTCCCAACAGATACTTCTGGGAACAAAAAACTAAGGCAATATTGAATGAGATGCAAACAACATCTTGCTCTTGCATCAAGGCACTATTCTACTTTTAAACTGTGCATCATCGTTTCAACTCCTAACTTCATGATAAAATAACTTGTAAAGCACCTTTCCCCCCTTTCCTAATCAAGAAGTAGTAACATGAAAAGAATTTTTAAAGTTGCAATTCTGCCGTCTACTTCAACTGCCAAATTAACATAATTCTTTAGGGAATGAGTAAACTAGCTAAAATACATAACACTAACAATTTGATCACAAAGGATATATTACCTTGCATCTTTTTCATACAGAGTTTTTGGCAAAAGATCTTTATCTACATAGACTGTGCTGGGGTAGTACCAGACTGTGAAACGGGTATCTTGAATCCCACAAAGAACGTTAGACGTGTCGTTCCAAGCCAAAGTTTGAACCATTGTCCCTGCATTTAACAATAACAGAATAATAGGCCTTTCCACCACAAACTTCAAAATCCAGGTACACTTCTCAAACTGCAGTAAAAGGGTAATTATCAGTCATTTTAATTCCCTTCAGAAGGGCTGGGTTTTAACCCCCGAGTTTGTAAGGTAACATCTGACAAACTTCCAGACCAATTCAGTTCCCTCTTTCTGAAAGAAAGTCCTTTTCAGAGTAACCTTTTTTTGGACTTAGTTTTTCTGGAGATCAAAATTATCACAGTGGTCAGACTGCACCCTCGTACTTACTGGATCACGCATCCGCCTGCAGCATATAAACCTTTCATTAAAACTATTAATTTTTAATTAAAGCTATTATAAACATAAGTGTTTGCATTTGCAAGGAGAATGTCTGAACATCCCTCATTGAATGATTTTGAGGAATACATCCCTTCCTCAATATCTTAGCTGCTTGCTCTGGAACGCAATAACAAGTTCTTAAATGTTAAGAATGGCTTTACATGTACCCGATGTAAAACTTACCAGAATTTAGAAAAAATGTACTAAAATTGTTTCTGCCGCTATCGTATGAAAGCCACAGGCCTATTTCTAATGGGTTTTTTCAAGTCCAGTTTCACTATTAATTAGAAAGGAAAATTTCTCTTGTACTAGATAAGTCCATTTACCTGCCAGCACGTAGTTAAAGGCTATTTTGAATTTTTCTTACCTATTTTAACAATCCTCTGTTCTTTTCCAAACCGTTTAACTGAAGTAATGTAAAGATCTCTGTTCTTATCAATAAAAGCTATTTTTCTTTCACTTGTAAGTCCTTTCTGGTCCAACGCAATCTCCACAATTTCTGTCTGAAAAGGAAAAATAGAATATCTGATTTGTATTTTGGAGATTCCTATTGTAGAAAGCATGTAATACTCAAACAAATGAACGCTTTACTAAAAACAAGGCACAAAACTCTTGAACAATTGGATTGGGAAGATACTGTGTGTCTTCTCTGTTGACTGAAACATTATACAAATTGAAGCGCATGCAGATTAAAACAAAACTGCAACAGAGTGAGCAATTTAGCAATTTGTTACAAAACTACAGAAATACAAGTGGCATTCTCAAAGCAAAACCTGCCCAAAAGATCCACGTTTCTTCCTCTCTCCAAAGAAGCTGCCTACTTTTGCTTTTGTTGTGTACCAGAAGAGTGAAGGAAAATACAGTTTAGGGAATCATTTTGGAAGTAAAGCCAGTAAAAGCTCAGGCTGAAGACAGACACCTTTTCACTGATGCTCCTTCCCTCCGTGTTAACAACAGGTCGGCACTAATAAAAGTTGCTCTGGAGTACACGCAGTGGCAACTCACCTCATCAGTTTTACTGCGTAAGAAAACTACGAGCTGCAGTTTCAGCCTGATGTGCGTGAGACACACGGCAGTAACCGAGCACAACCTGCAGTGCATCCCTTCGGAGGCTGCATAAGGAATCTGACTTCTGTTACGGGTCAGCTGGAGCTGTCGAGTTCCTTCCTATTAAGGCTGTAAACCCTTAATGGGCCGACAGACCTATTTTTGAGGAAAACCATTATTGATTCTTAATTTCAAAGTATAATAAAAAAAGAGACATTATATCCTTCACCTCACCTTGTGGGTTAGAGGCTTTCCATCACCCAATGGCTTGCCAGATAAAGCTTCAAATATGTAGATAACTGAAAAAAAAAACCCCAACATATGGTTTATTAGTTAAAAACAACAGCTCTTCATAGACTTTTCAAGCAGTTCCATTCCTTTCCAGAGTGGAATTTACCTCAAGTGGATACTTATTACTGTGTGCCAGATTTACCAGTAACTTTCAGTCTGGTGAAAAAAGAATCTCGCAGTTGGGAATATGTAACTGTCACAGTCTGCCGAGCTTAGGAATAGTCCTGTTTTGCAATTGGAGTGATCTGTGAAAATGCTCAAATACCTTTATTTTCAGAGCCTTGATGGCCATTGGAACATGGTATTATGGACTTATGCAGAATTGGGAAGACTAATCACAGCTCAGATGGTTATTCACAGAAACAACACTGAGTTCTGGCTGATGCAAGTTTGTACTCTGCATCCTGAATAAATTAATGTCATAAGGCTGCCTGATTTACTCAATCTTAACCCACAATTTGGATGAATATGAAAGTGTAGGAAGGGATTCCACTGACCGATACATTTTCCTAAGTGAATTGGTATCAAATACCTAGAAAACTGTCATTAAACTCCTGGGTAAAACATTCTGCAGAAGCATTCTCTATTATGTTAATTATCTGCTCTATTTTGAATTCTTAATACAGTGGTCTCTAGGCAGTATTTTCTTCCAGGACAGTTCAGGGTTTCTGCTCATCATGATGATACAGTTAATGACAAGACATTAATAACTGGTTTCCTCAAAAAGTATCTGCTTTATCCTGATAACTCGTACGTAATTCTTGCAATCTTCACCAAAACTCCATCTGTTTCATTCTCTCTCTGTCTCACCCTCAAAAAAATAAAAGAAAACAAAAAACCTCTCCAAAAAACCCCCCACCTACATAATTTGTTTTTCTGGGATATCCAGTGAAGACTCAAATTTGCAACTTGCCTAAAAATAAGGTTTCTCCTTCCTTCTTTCTGTTTGTTTCTATACCGACATGTGTATGTGACGCACACGCCCCCGTGCGTGTTCAAAACCTATTCGAACATACTTTACATACAGTCTGTGACACAAGTTCACACACAGATGTAGGTGGAGTGTTCAAACCCAGGCAAAACAGTGACATTTGAGGGACACCAGCTGTCCTTTACATTTGAGCTGCTCGGTAACACGTCCCACCTGCAGTTTCAGCGCGTTACTCATGGGTACACGGTACAAGACGAACATACATGCACATTCCAAAGGATGGCGATGTTAACATGTGGATCCTGCTGCGCATTTCTTTCACTAGGACACAGGATGTTGGTTTGAGGTCAATGGTTGTACAGGCAGAATTCAAACAAAAACCCCAACAACCCGTAAGAGCAGGTGTTCGGAAAGCAGTGGTTGAGTTTGCAGAGGTGGAAAAGAAAGGGTTTTGCACAAGTGTTGCTCTTGGCAGCTGGCTGAATAGACAAAAGAAAACTAGCTGTTCCTGAGAAGTGCTACTTTTCTCACTTTTCTGCATGGCTCCCTGCATGAAATGCACTTTGATCTAGCTATACAAGCCAATTTTACTGCTCCTACACTAGCTATGGGAAGGGAGATGAAGAGAGTTTTAGAGAAAACTACCTAACTGACAGGTAGAACTGGTTAACTGTTCATTATCTACAATGCTCATTAAGGTAGCTTAGAAAATAAGTTTGGGGTTTTTTCCTCTCTATCTGGAAAAACTCCGTATCACTTTACAATCATTTAGAACCTAAAATGTATCTTTTTTTTATATGTACAAATTAAGGCAATAAACAATGGGCATTCTCCCACTTTGAGCAGCCAAAGAAAAAGAACAGCTACGGCGTGTCTTTGAACACCCGTGTTCTATTGTCACGGAGTAACAGCTCCTACAGCCAGCAGTTCCCTTCTGAGAACAGGCTCACCTCCCCTTCCAGCCTCATCACAGACAGAGGAAGGACTGCAAGATCAGAGATACCAACTTTTTTCTAGATTACCTGAAGAAGAAGAATATCCAAGTAACAACGCTAAAGCAAGTCATATCTCTCTCTCTTTCAGAGTAAATTAGCTTGTTGTGAGCTCCATGCTACGACGTGTGAACTGCTTCCTTTATCAAACTGAGATAGCATAGGTATTTCTATAATGCAGTGCATTATGAAAAACAGACCTGCTCTCAAAACAGGGCGACAAAAAAAAATCCACTTCTGCTGGGGCAAGTCAAGAAGAATAAACAGGTCCAGATAAGCCATGCTTTCCTGTGCCAAGAATCTGTTTTCCCAAGTGCTGGCATATTATACGGCTTTTTATCACTACTAGTGGGGTTCTATCTAAAAAAGAAAAAAAACCCACTCCTACTCATTGCCCTGACGGAAGCTCCTATCAACGGGATCACTTGGAGAGTTGATCTTGGAAACACAGCCTGTAAATTACAGTTTTGAGGAAGATTAGCCCCAGTGCAGGACCAGCTGACAAGATTTTCAGAAGACTGATAGGAATGGTTGGGAGAAGAAGATGCTCTTCAGTCTATTCAGGAAGATGGGCAGGGGAAGGGGGTAAGACAGTGAGTTTACCACCAAAACCTTAAATATGCACATAGACAGCAGTCAAGATGGATGGATGAATTTTCTATATAGCCTCAATGTATTTAAAATACTTTTATTATTATATTCTAACTGCATCAAGGTGTCAATATGGCAATAAAAAAGTCTGTGTTATACATACTACGTAATATACAAACAAATATACATTGTGTAATATACGTACATAGACACACAGAGAGCGAAAGAGAAAAGATCAGAAAAAAATGTTACTTCTCACTTATCCATTTATATTTTTTTTGCCAAGTACTGCTTTCTCCTCAATAATTTACACTGAAATATATTTTTGCTGATTAGGATCCATTTTAATTATTACACAACTCTTTTAGATATCTTTAATGGTTTGGTACTTGAGGATAACATTTATTGAAGTAATTTTCCTTAAAAAAAAATTACACGACAGTTATATTACTGCTCTTAAAAATAATGTTGCAAAATGAAAGAATTTGTTCTCACACAAATGATAAGGATGTAGAAGGAAAAAAACCCCACATACTTTGTACAGAAAGCAAAAATGCCTTGTAACAAGGAATTGAGAAAAACCTCACCTAATTTTCCTTTTGCTCAGGGAGGGTTATTTTAAAGGATCATTACAAAGGTTTTCTTCATTCACAGAGTAATTTAAGTTGTAGGTTATATGGTGAGAAAATTACCATACAATCAGTACTAAAGGGTTAATGCCCTGCTGGGATCTCTTTCTAGGGCAAAAAAGATAAATATGATGGTTCCTTGCTGCAAGACAAAGAATTCTAAAATTTTGAGACTGTATAAAATCTACTCATGAAATCTAGGATAACAGACAGTTACAGATAATTGATTGAGGTGGTATCAGTTGGAAGCACGGGCAGGAAGTTTCACTCTGCAATACAGCACCTCCCGCACCCAGCTGCTCCCACCGGGAGTCCCCTTACTGACCCGAGAACACAGCCATGGACAGCACCATGCACTGTAGTATTCGTATGGCCTGGAAACGGCACAGTGATGAAGTCAGAAGTCATAATGCCATGGGTTTTTCAGCAATGGGCAGACACTTAAAATGTAAATTGTTACACAGGTAAACTCGCATCAAGAGATAGAACAACGGAAGAAAAGCTGACTGACAGAATAATATTTCTGTACCACTCATTAACGCAAAAAATTTACCTGAAGCTCATGTGGCCATGTTGTGGTTTAGAATTATAGTGCTTTGGATGCCAAACCACAAAATTTAGGAGCATGTACACAACGTCTTCAAGTACACAACGCTGAGACAGACAATCACAGCCTCGAAGCTATGGTCACACCAGCTGTGTATAAAACTTACATGCTATAAGGATACAAACCCAAGACAACTGAAGTAAAGAACATCTGAGAACTAAAACTGATCACAGCTCATCTAAGAGCAGCAGTCAAGCAGAAAGAGTTGCTGAGGTGCTTCTTTAGAAAAATCACATCAGAGAGTGAAAACCTACCGTTCGAGTATTTACCACAAACATGCCATGGTTCTCTGATGCATTACACGCAACTGGAAGTTCTCGTCAAGATTTTAATCAAAGTCAAGCAAGACCCTAATTTTAACTCATTTTTACAATAAATATTATCTTAAATTTATATTACAGATAAATTGTTCATGCTTCATGCTGTCCTTTTTACCCTAACCATGCTAAGTAAAATTAAATGTGAAGTTGTTGGAAACTTCCTCATGAATTCTTAGCAAACACAGAACTAATTAGAATGGAGAACTTACCTTTTTCATCAGCTTTGTCTTTCACTGCTAGAGTATCGTTACTCAGAGATACTGTCTGGGCATTTAAAATGTCTGTTCTCATCCCTGGAAATTTTGGAGAGGATATTAATCTTCCTTCATATGAGTATAAATAAAGGCCTCCACCATCTACAAGAAGAAAGTGCCTACAATAAAAAAACAAACAAACAAGTAAATCACTAAATAATACAGAAAAGCGTGATGACCATTTCAACAAGTTGAAGGTAGTTGTCTAATATCCTGCAATTGTTTTCAGTTAAACTAAGTAATTTCCAAGCCTTACATTTCAAAGTTGATCTTTGGAAAGCTCTGTATAGAAGATTTCAGTTTTAATGCATCTTCTCCCAGTATTTATTTATTATCTGGAATCACCATGAATTTATCTGCTATAGATCCTATGAGACTAACTCTTGTTAACAAAGCATACAGATGCAGATGATAGTCCCCACACATCACCCCGTGAGACGTCGTGTCTACGTATGTGAGAAAGAGCTTTAATGTGGACAGCTACCTCTGAAATAGTGTTACTGTATCAGTTTCTTCAGTACGACTAGATTATAACGTAAAGCATTCATTTCTGTGGATCAAAGAATCTGTGTCATGTTTTCAAAATTTACTTTTCATCGGCAGCACAAAACTCTAGAAACTGATCTTCAAAACCCTGTCCACTTGCTTCCCCCTTCTCTACTGCGGTACCTTCGCAGGCTAGGACATAAGTGTTTCATCCGGGGCACTCAGAAATGCAGGGACCATTGTGCTGCACTTTGTTGAAGTAGTTGTCTGACAACATTCGCCTATGCGAATTAAGACTATAATTCAAATTCAAGACTTGACTTCTGCTCCTATTCATAGTCCTTTGACTTCCTACAAAAGCACACCTAGAGATCTCTTGGACAAACGATTTTCAGGAAACGCAGATTAAGGCTGTTTTGAACTGAGAAAAGATAGTAATTCTCTTGCAAATGCAAACATGTAAGAAAAATAAAACTATGTCTTTTTATCTGGCATACCTGGCAGTGTTTTTAATAAAATCTGATACCAAAGATAATTTATATAGAATATATTCCAGTTCAAAAAAGCAATATAAAACAGCAATACACCCCAGATGTTAGCATAATGTCAGAAGATCTACTTTCTTCCATAAATAAGAATGTACGTATATATATATAATAATAATGTATAAGAATATAATGTATGAAAAAATTCATCCCCGTGATCACAGACCTATGGCAAACATACCAGCTAAGCTTTTCCATGCTACTTAACAATACCATATACTACTTCTACTAGTATTTCTAGTATTTCAGTATGTGCTTATGTTACACAACACAGTGTTAGGAAACCCACGTTCACATCTAATAGCATTACAAGCAGGAAGTTACCTTTCCGCTTGCAGAATCAAACTAACTGTTCCTTCCTTCAGGTCAAAGATCAGCGGTGTATTCCAGTTCTTTGTACTGAAAGAAGAAAAAATCCCCACTTGTTAAACCCGCTCATCCTCACAGATCGTTGCAAGTACAAAGTTGAATTCGCTACGTAAAGCATACACGTTTCAATCACCTAACATTCCTAAAAAGGGAGGTTTTCAAAAAGAAAACAGCATTTAGGAAGCCAAGTGACAGTGATAACCATGCAGTATGACCACTAACACTTCTGCCTTCACTTTGCATCCCTCCACACTAGCAGCAGCTGACCTAGGAGTCTTAGTCAGCAGCAAAACCATATTTATAGGAAACAAACATATTTTAAAAGTATTTCTGAATGATGGTTCAACCCTTCTACAGTGATCCAGAGGCAGGAGAGAGCCCCTCTCTTGTGTGCCACATTCCAGGCTGCATTATTGCTCAGCATTAGTCACCTCACTGAACAGATAAGTGCCTTTAAGGAGTAAACTTTAAAATTTCATCATATGAAACAGAATATCATGTTCTTAAAACATGATTCAGGTTTGAATCACTCCTATTCTATTCCAAAATTATGGCATGCCAGAAGCATTATCCTAAAAAAAGGAGTCCCTAGGTGGAGGCGCAAATACACTTGCATCCAGCCACTGTTCCTGCTGCCTCTACGTGGAAAGAACGCCCACCAGATCTGTGGAGCAAAATGAACAGGCAGTCGTGGCACCAGCAAAAGCTGAAAGAAGCGATGACAGGGGGGCGGCAACTCTACTCCAGTACACACTACATTCTGTTGTAGATGACGCTAGGTTTCATACTTCAATTAATTTTTTAAATTTCAATTAGTTAAAAAAAAAATTCATTACTATACTTGAAATCAAGTTTCTCCTACTCTCTCAGAGCTGTTAGTTAACTTGAGAAAGCTTCAAGACTTTGTATTACTTACGAAAACACGTAACACTGAAGGGAAGTTGAAACAACCAAATGCCCGTAGTTCAAAGATGCCTTGATGACCCTGTCACGGAATTCCAACAAATCGACTGCATCATCTGTAACATTGTGCACCTAAACGAAAGAAAATTTTGGTTGAATAAAATGGTAATGACTGAAATTAAACTAACTAGGGAAATGTCATTCTTTCTTACTGTGAGTACATGCTGATACTATTATGCCATTAGCAGAACATATCTATGTGGGAACAGGCACTTCCACAGCACCGGTGAAAACAAACTCAAAGGTTCTATAGACTCTGATTAAACAAAGAGTAATTACTGAGGAGCTGGATGGAGTTCCTTAAAAGTAAGAAGTAATTAATGCGCACTTGGAAGACAGAACCCGCAAGCACAATATTATACGTGAGGTTGACAAAACCATCTGAGATCAAGGATGTCTGAAATTCCCATTTTAAGACTCAGTGTTTAGCTGCTGATTATTTAAACACCTGAAACGTGGTGTTTCAATGATCCCATCATGATCCCATCACAGTACGTCAGCAATATCCAAGATTTAGATAAAATACGTTGTCTAGATGTGGAATAGTTCTGGCGTACTTTTTAATGCTATCACACTCTGAACTTAGGGGAATTTAGGAGATGGCCTTGGTGAGCAGGCTGTGCCTCTGCCACTTCTGTGAAAACTGGCTCAAATGACAATGGTTCAAGAAAATCACAGTTGGCCTGTAATCAACACAGGGTTTTGAGCTCAAAGATTTTAGGCAGCCAAAATCTAAGGAGATATCTTATGACAGGCCTTTATTTATTTGGGGTTTTTCTGTTGTTGTTCCATGCTTATTTTTTTAAGATGTCACCAGGCTGAGGGTGCTAACTTTCTTTTGATTTTCTCCATCATGCAACCAATTGCAAATCAAGGGCTGAACTCAATTATTAGGAAAGCCTAGAAACCATTTCCAACGACATATTAATTGCTATGCCCCCCACAGTGATGTGCCCAGAATTAACTTTGCTGCTGCAGTAGTCAGGAAGAAAGAATGCCTCTAGAACTGTCTTTTTAGGCAGTACTTTCCTACGTAAATCTGGAGGAATAAAATAAATTCACTATCAAATAATAAAATAAAAAATTAGTCCTGAGCCAGCGTTAGCTATACTTCCTCAGTTGTTTGCATATTCAAACACCCTGGAGATCATTCACAGAGCCCATCTGCTACGAGTCGATGTCTGGGAATGAAAGAAGAAATGCGAATTTTTACCTGCTAAATTGTCTTCTGTGTTCCCAGACACTGACTCATGTTATCCCACCCACCAGACCAAATTGTAATACAGCATTTCTGTTGTTACAACTTTTCCCAATTATATATTCAACATCGAAAAATCGAGACCAAAAAAACATTTAAGGGCCTAATTAGGAATTTAGGAACTTGACTTCGATATTGAACATATTGGCCTGGTGTCCAATACCAAATGTGTAATTTGGAAAATTTGTAAGGATGGAAATCTTATATTATCCCAGTGTTCAGAGGGTGAATGTTCTGAGTCAGTGTCTGGGAACATAGAGGGCAAATTAGGAGGTAAAAATTCATATTTCCGTATTAATTCCCAGATATTTGGTAACCTAAACCGAATAACCTAAACGTGGATTCAGGCCAAGATTTTTCAAAAGAAGGATCCTAAACTTAAGCTCCAGAAACCACATGTAGGGGCCTGTTTCATTTCCAGCAGTGCTGAGACTTGGCAGCCCCCACTGAGGTCAATGCCTGTTGCTCAGAACTCAGCTGGAAGCCCCATGCAGGTACCCGGTGGATGTTATACGATACACGGCAACTTTCTGTAGCGTTGGAAGATCTGAATCTAGGTTGCAATAGAGTACATGGTGCAGAATAGCACACTACAACTCTCTGCAGTCATAGTCAGCAACCAAATTTATCTGGAAATGCCATAAGACAGCAACATTCATCATCATAGCTTCCACAGCAACAAAGATACAGTAACATTACTAATGCATTAACTATTGCAAAGTGCATCAGTGCCTCCCACAACTCATGAATGCAGATAAGGTAAAGGAAGCGCCTCTCAATCACCTACACTTAACTCCGTAGCTTCATCTTTGCTGACAGTTACTGTAATACCATTTAACATGATGCTTTGGTTTTGGCCAATGGATCTGTATTGTTTTCTGCGTAAACATTTTCATGATACTTGGAATTCTCTCTCTCTGGTAAGTGGCCTCCCGCAGCTAATTTCACATGCTCTTCGAGTGAGCTTCGCATTTTTCTGCAGGATAAAGTGCTTCTGTGTTCTGTAATTCTGGTCCATCTTGTGGTATGGTTTGGTTTACGTGGATCTGACCTTCCGTACAACTGATTATTACTTACACCATTTGCTAACTCTGGCTGTTTTAGAGGCTTAAAAATTTTCAGTCATATATAGGCAGAAAAAAAAGGATAATGCTTTGGATAAGGATAAGGTAATGTTGAGGATTAAAATTTCCCATTTTGTATTTAAAAAAGCCTTAGTAAGAGAGTAATCCGAATGCACAGCTCCGTGAAGATTACCTCCATGGTTCTCCTCTTAACTAACGTGACTTCAAAGTTCTTCCACTCCCAGCGCTGCTCCACGACGTGGGCAAAAATGACGTGTCCGTTTCCACACGCTCCAGCTAGTTGAGTGCCATCCGTAGACCAAGCAATATTAAATATGCTGCCAGTGTTCGGCTTCTCTAAAGCATAAGACCACTTGCAGAAAAAGAGAAAAGAATTCTTAATATTTTTTGTACTTTTTGGAAATGACTTATTCTAATAATAGATTTGCACGATTATAATTTTTTAAGACACATCAATGAACTAACTAGTAGCTAGCCTCGTACAAGCTACTCTGAGGAACATACGCTCTAACCCCAATTAAAACCAGCACAAGCTTGAATAAGCAAACCAAAGAGAGAAGGTCTTTTAAGTCAGACTCTTGAAGAACAGGGAAACCGTCATGTAGGGCACAAATTAAAAATGTCAGTGTCTGAAGTACATTAGGTAAAAGTTATCCGACCACAATACATTTAAAGTGTACTTAGTCATAAATCCAGACAACCGCTATACAAAAATTAAGGGAATGCACTTGGAAACAACGAGGTGTGAAGCATTCGGTGTCTGCTGCAGCGACAGCAGTCCCTGAATACAGAAGAGCAAGACCTGGGCAAAAATCAGTCGGTATAAACAAGCACTCCCAGGCTACAGAGAATTGCAATGCTCTCGTGTTGCTTCTCCCCATGCTTCCAACATCAGGGACACTGGTGAATTAGGAAAAGCTCTGAAAGCAATGCCTGTATGCTGTTCTAACACAAAAAAAGCAGCTCGATACCCTGCCTGCCTTTTCTCTGCTCTCTGTTGTTACTGTACAGGGGAAGGATGTATGGGAAACTTCCAGGTGCTACGCTTGCAGTAACAACAAACTGAAATGTCACTGCAATTGAAGTGGTGCAGCTTTGGAGAGAACCAGAAACAATAGCTCCGCGTGCTGCCTTCGGTTTAGACTAATGAAGAGGTGCTCGCAGACGAGTATCACAGTTCAGTGCTGTGGAGGCACAGGTCAAATAACTATAGTACAGAATATTCTTATCAAAATAAGTAATGTACCTCTTCTCCTATGCAGCTCGAAACTCAGTAAGCAAGATGGCATTGCTGTACGTTTTCCTGCAAGGTGGGAAGGCTCACTTTGACCTGAAAATGCATTTCTGTGGTACTGTGGCTAACATGATCCTTCCCAGCAGGTCGAGGGAGGGGATTCTGCCCCGCTGCTCTGCTCTCATGAGACCCCACCTGGAGTGCTGCATCCAGCTGTGGAACCCCCAACATCAGAAGGATATAGACTGGTTGGAGCGAGTCCAGAGGAGGCCACGGAGATGATCAGAGGGCTGGAGCACCTCTGCTATGGGGACAGGCTGGGAGAGGTGGGCTTGTTCAGCCTGGAGAAGAGAAGGCTCCGGGGAGACCTTATAGCACTTTCCAGTACCGGAAGGGGCTACAAGGAAGCTGGGGGGGACTTTTTGCAAGGGCTTGTAGTGACAGGACAAGGGGTAACGGGTTTAAATGGAAAGAGGGAGATTGGGATGGGACATCAGGAAGAAGTGCTTCCCAGAGAGAGTGGGGAGGCACTGGGACAGGTTGCCCAGAGATGTTGTGGATGCCCCATCCCTGGAAGTGTCCAAGGCCAGGCTGGATGAGGCTTGGAGCAACCTGGTCTAGTGGAAGGTGTCCCTGCCCGTGGCAGGGGGGTTGGAACTAGATGGTCTTTAAGGTCTCTTCCAACCCAAACCATTCTATGATTCTATGAACCCCCTTCTTCTACTGCTTTCCATCATCTCTGTCTATAAAAATATAGTTATCAGTTCGGTTTGTTGATTTTTAAATGCAGGCCCAAAGCTACTGGGGTGGCAGGAAGCTGCAAGAACAGCAGTGACCGGAAGCCTGCAGTGCCGGATCAGGGACCAGGAGATGCGCTCCCATGCCCAAGCAGCTAGCCAGCCACAGGCAAACGACACAGAGATCAAACAGCGGCTCCTGAACAGTAAGCTGGCCACTAAAAGATGCTTTTAATTAAAAAATAAAGCAGACTTATACTCTCTAGCAGCAAGGTGTAAGTTGCATTTCACAATTTAATTCCTCCCCTGCCTCTGCACAGGGCACACGGACCCCATCCTGCCTGGGCAGCTCCACGGAATCGTCCCCTCCAGCACAAGGGGATGTGCAGGCAGAGCTCACGCTGAACGGAACAGCGCACAATTTCTTGGGGGGGGATGTTGGGGGATATTTTCATTCTATTAGCATTGCAAAAAATAAAATTACGTATGCCCCTCATCACACAGAAGGAGGAAGGGGTAGTAAAACCAGCAGTTGGGTTTTCCTTCTGATCCACAGCACGAATGTAGTTATGAGAGAAGCTCACATTTAGTGCTAAATCTCATTTTGTTCCTTCCAGTATTTACACTTCCTCCAGTGAGGAACTGCAGCCTTAAACTCCCCCAGCTTATGTACGAGACTCCTCTAAACTTCAGCTGGACCCTTATTAATACTTTCTTGTCAAAAACCAGAAGATTTTTCAGACCAAGACACTTATTTTCCATCTCCTGTACCCCAGAAATACAGTTCATACAAATCATCCCAAATCTCCAAACAAGCATTTCCCTGGAAGCAGATGACAAAAAAAAAAAATATGGAATAACCTTCCCACAGACTTTCAGGAAGACGTTAAAGCAGGTTTTAAAACGAGAAGCAAACCTCAACCGTGGCCTCTTCAGAGCTGTTAACAGAGTGTTTTAGAAAGCATTCAGCAGTTGAGGAACTACCTGAATATTCAAACACATCTGCAAGCTTACGAATCGGAGCAGTAAGCAAAAACATGTGATGGAACTTGAACGCAGACACTGGATTCTCATGACTTTCGGATACGTGATATTACACCAAAAGGGAGTCAGTTGGAAGAAAATACCTAATGCTTCTAACACATTTCATACTCTGATTTCTTTTGCAGTACACATAAACCCCAAGAAAGTCCTTCACACAAAGTCTTCCTATGTTTTATAAGAAATGAAACCACAAAAAATTACAGTAAAATTGAGGGGTCAGACTTAAACATTCAGTAGCAAGGAAGTACAATTCACCCCGACCGCTGTGACACGACCTCCTGAGTTAAGGCCCTTCCACTGCCTACAAGCATCAGGGTGAGCAAGAGACAATGTCAGCACTGACTGAATTCCCAATTCCAAGGCTTCGGCTTCCGTGCCCCTTGGCTCACAGACACGCCATTCACTGCCGACAGGATCGGCAGTTGGGGAAGGAAACTGTAATTTTTGGAGAAGCCCATAACCTACTCTTCTGTCTCAACAGGATGAGTCCTGTATGAACCACTCTAGAGTAATTAAGAGCATAATATTTAACTGTGTCTGACACCCTTATATGGCAAAATGAGTAAGCACTTGAGGTTGTAGGACAAGCGATTGTAACAAGCACACTCAGAAGGCTCTAAATGTCCTACATCCAAGGCATATTTTTCACAGCTGGCCAGATGTGATCTATCCGAGAACAGTTTGAAGAAATACTATTTCAAAACTGAGTACTGGGATCCTCCCAAAGAGACACGGCTGTTTCTAAGGTCATTTCCCTTAGATCAAGAATCTACTCATCAGTGAGAATGAATAATAAAGGGGCATCAAGCCATCAACTAAGGACCAGTTTACGGAGCTTGAAGAATGTGGCTTTGGGGCAATCTTTTTTATGCAGAGCAGATACACTGCAGCTCTGAGAGGATAGGTTTCCACAACTACCTTTTTTCTTTAAAAGAAATAGAAGCATTTTTTTTCAGGTGGTTGAAATACTGAGGAAAATATTTCCAGATTACAACCTAAACTTTAAAAAAAAAAAAGTAAAGCTATTACAAAGTTTTATTTTCCAGTTATTTTTGAAAGCTCTCAGTATAATTCAGACCAATGATTCACACTCCCTGCAGATGTCTGGTACATTTATCTTGTACACAAAATGTTATAATAAAAATCATTTGTAAGATGAGTACCATTTTTAAAAACTGAAATAGATGTTATGTATTTCCTAGGCACACAGTTAAAAAAAAAAAAGGGAGAAAAGGTATGAATCTGACTATATGAATGACTGTACAAACGTTGTTCTACCGTTAGCTGCAATATTATACTTTGGTCTTGCTGTTTGGCTTATACTTGTGTCATAATTAATTTTTCATTTAATTCAACGAACTCTCTAAAGAACAAAACGAGTTATAAAAGTTTCATTATATTAAGTAAATACATTAAAGCAGTAACTTCAGCTTCCCTTTTTGATTGCACAATGCAGTAAAAAAGCTGAAGTACCATAGTCCCTGGATACTGTCTGACTTCCATAAATGGAAACTGAGTAGGCTCTTGAGATGCCGGTGAAATTATTTCAATGAGTAGATTCAGAGAACTCTGTGTCCCAGGAACAAGGACAGTCTTTCACATGTATACTATCGATGCTCCAAGACTCCGTAAGAAGGATCTAGTTAGTTATTATTTCTGGACTGAATGCAATAAATTAAGAATGGTTATCCACATAATACCACAGCATAAACGTTTCGAAAAAAATATAGTGAGGAAAGAGTATTTCCTTATATTTTAAATTAGAAGAGTAAGACTGATGTCAGCTGGACACTCGGTTGTTCCTGGCTGGTCTCTGTTTACCAGGATGTGGAGTTCTGAACAGGGAATGCTGACATAAGCTGAACTAAAGCTGATACTGCCGAACCTCCCCATGATGTCAGAATCCACACAGCATACCCAATCCTCTGACTTCAGTAATAGTCTTGGCCCATTATTTTGCCTTTGTTTATGAAAAGAAAACAGGCAATCACCCCCAGAGTCCATTCCGGAAATCAGCGCAGATCGGACTAACAGCAGATACATGCTCTTGTCCTTTTATACTCCAACTGATATAACCAAGAGGAGTGTGTTAGAACCAGCCCCCGAGCCAAGTCTGACAAAGAAAGTTTCAGGTCCTCTGAAACCGAGGACCTCTATTTTATTAATTTAGGTGGTTTTTTTGTTTGTTTGGTTGGGTTTTTTTAAGTGAAGGCTTGGTTTTCCTTTTTCTCCAGCTCTCACTGCTTCTGGGTGATGAACCCACACTTTAGTGCAAACTGCCTAGAAGCTTCTCATCAGAAAATGACTATTAATTTTCTGATGTAACGGAAAGCAAATTGGATCTTATAAGATTATAAAAATCAATTATCCAAAGCAAATCCATCCTTAAGTGTACTAGGAACACCTGGATATGCACACATATATGGAATTAGCTTGCGGAAAATACACATGTATGTAACTCTATATACACCACCCCCCAGATATTTTACTGAGTATGAAATATAATGTTATTTTACAAGACAAGACCTGCTAGGTTTTCAATTCCTACCACATTGGAATCCACAAAAGATTCTACAAACCAGAGACAGTACGTGTAACTGGAGGTAAGGAAATCCAGTGCTACAGGTGAATACAGGGCAACTCACCTGAGAGGAGAAACGTTTCTTGACGTGATTACTGAACTATGAAAGACTCCTGCTGCCTTCTCAAACTTCTGTTGGGCTTGACCCTGGTAATTAACGTGAATTATCAAGAACTCAGCCATGACCTCCAGGTGAGGTATGAAGCTGCGTATTAGAGGACCAAAGCCAAACAGAGGATATCTAAAAACATCTCCTGAACTGCAAACACGTTCTCGTAATTATTAGCCCTACAAACCAGAAATAGGATGACAAACTGTCCCATATAAATTCTTAACCTTAGAAAATCAAACCTTGATGTAGTTCTTCAAATAGATTTCAACTTCCATACATGAGCTACATGTTTTCATTTTCTTCCAGAAGCTACATTAGCCAACTCTAATAAATTAAAATATGCCAACTTGGAAAGAATTGGTCAACAACATAACTCCATGGGAAACCTATCTGTGATAGTTTTTTCTTTTATGGAGCTACAAAGAATTCAGCTGGATCATGACTGCTAATAAAGGTAGATGAAACAGCACAGAAAACAGCCCTTATTTTTGTTACGCTGCCAAACGCATCTCTGTGAAACAAGACTAAAACTGAATGTAATGGGATCAAAGCTCATTGTAACTCCATAGAAAACAGATTTGCTCAGGGTTTCGTAGTGCCCTCATTTAGGACAATTCAGCACTATCAGAAAAATATGAACACACACACACACACTGTGTTCAAAATCCTGCTCCCTCTTTCATATTTACCTAATATCTAATGTCACTTTAAAGGATAAATTATGTTAATTTTACAGTAGGCACACAGATTTCATTCCAAAGCATTTGCTAAGCACAGCGGTGAAATGAAGGTAAAAGTAAACCAAAGGGTAAGATTTAGCGGTGAAACAAACATCAATTTATTTATGAAAACAGAATGCAGATAAACATCAACAGAAAAAATGTCCGACAAGAGCAGCAATTTGGAAAATAACCACCAAAAATCCAATCAAACTGATCAATCCCCATTAAGGGTAAATAAATCATTAATGGAAGAATAATCTAAAAAGGTCTCCATGAAACAAACTCATAAATATATTCGGCATTCTTAAAATACACCTCTGATGTCCATCTTTGCTAACTTTTGGTGGCAATTTTAAAAGGATAATTAGACCACAGTGTTTCACTTCAGATTTTTTAATCAATGATCCTTCTACACTCTCCAAGGCACTGGGAAAGCAACCTGCCTTTGGAGCAGATGGGTATGGTCCATTTTCCAAGATACTTATGTGGGAGTGGAGTGGGGAAGGAGGAAATCAGTGAATTTCAGTCATTCTTACCATCTCTTATTGTGTAAATATTTTGACCTGATCAGTAAAGTCAAGGGAAGCATGCAGAGCCACAGGAAATAGCTTACATAAATGAACTTTTTAAGCACTGCCCTCCATCCAAGTGATTAGATTCTGAAAAGCTGTGAACTCCAGGAAGGCTGAAGTCTACCCATCCATCCATCCAGCTTTACACTTCAATATATATCACTTTAAAATTAATCTCAGGACTCTGCAGGATTAATGATCACAGACACTAAAGCAGGCAACAAATTCCAACATTAAATATATTTTAGTATTCTGTAGGTATCTAAAAGCAATTTATTATGGCTATCAGAGATAAAGTGATTTTTAAATTAATAAAACTTGGAAAAGTTACTATTATATTTGTAGTTTTTTAACATGAAGCTGCTAGAACAAATATCCAGGTAGAAAGAAAAGGAGAAATAACATAGTCTAACAGAATTTAATTTAATTATGTCCCCAAACTGAACACATATGCTAGAGAAGAGTTAATGATATATATATCGCCTGATGGCTCCCTGAGGAGCAATTTGCCAATACAGCTCCATTACATCAGACATAATAAAAATGTCTATGTTGACCAGTAAAAGCCAGGTCTGGTTCTCTTCAAACTCCATCACTCTGGTGGTATGTGAATCATTCTTCCTCTTCCCTCAATGCCAGCAAAGCTAGTTCTTTAGTAACTATTTACATTTCATGTCAGGAAAGCAACTTCCACGAAAAATCATGACTTTTGAAGATAATAAATTACCACTGTTAGCTGCTAAACAGGCAAAAGCGTCTGGCACTAGCTACCGTACATGTCTTTGTCTCTTTAAGAGTGGAGTAATAAACCAGGTAACAGAACCCTTAATTTCATGACAAAATGAACCTATCTGTGCTAGAATTTCAAACAAAGTCCAAAGCCTGTTTAATATTAAACGCTCATTAAAAAATTACTGGTTTGCAGCTAGCAGGAGCGGGAACCATACTTACAGTAAATTATATTACATAATAACTAGCAAGGAAAACAGTAAGGCCCCAGGGACCGGAAACAAAAGCTATATGCTACAAAACAGCAGGGATGACAGCAGAAAGAGAAATCCAGTATTTTTCTTCCTTTTCTGGTGCACCAGTCTTTGCCACATGTAAGCATAGATCTATACAGAGTGCAAAATGCAAATTAAATTGTGGGCCTCACCCACACAAGAGTATATTTATTTCAGTTTACCACTTGCTGATGTAGCTCTGTGATCCCAAGTACTCGGAAAGGAGATGGAAAACGGTTGTGGGAAAAGGGGGCACGGTTCAAAGTGCTGCTTTGAGAAGAAAATACTAATGGCTAGCCTGATTGTTTAAATCAATGTGTTATGTAATGTAGTCCAACACAGATGGAATTATATGACTATAAATTGCTTTATACAAATACACCTCAATTTGGCGTCATCAAGTGAAACAGGGTGTACGTATATAAACACTTCCACACGGCATATTTACACAGGAGATGGAAAGGCGACTGGCAGGGTAGATTACTGCCTTAATCACATTTTAAGTTAAGTGCCATATTAAATGAAGAAAAAGATTCCTATCCACCTTGCTTTGAGGCAATCCTAAAGGACCCTTCTAAGGGAATCGGGAAGTGTATCAGCAGATACATGCACCGAGCTGGTAATGATGAAATCCCACACTCGATGCCTAACGTTGCCCCAACCAGAATATGCCAGGGAGAGGAAAAGCTGTTCCCTCTGATGATGCAGCCACTTAACCATCAGAGTGTCCCATCCTCTAAGAGCTGAGGCATGACTGCACAATCCTTACAACTGTATGCGCAGGGACAATTTATCCATTAATGTCTCCTGCAAACATAAATATTATCCAATTCTGGACAAAACGGAGGCAGATAAATCTAACATGTATCCTTTTTAAAGGGAGGAATTTCAGTGACGAAAAACTTAAAATGATGGAAATGGCAATCTGCTCTCCAGTTTTACACCAGAGACAGGAAACCTCATTCACTTCATTATCTTTCATACCTGTCTCAGTGGTAGCTCGATCTTCTGCACAAGTTCATACCTCAGGCTCAAATTCTACTCACTACTTCATTCTTCTGAACTTCCTAGTGTGTAACACACAGGTAATAAACATCTCCTTTCTAATGCCCGACAACTACATTCTGCAATCTCCTCATGAGATGTCCTTGTCAACTCATAGTATTTAGTATTATTTTTAAGAAAAAAAAGTGAAATAATAAAAGCACAGGACATTGTTCTCCTACCTCATTTTTTAGGATAGGTTATTGTTCTACACTCCCTGCTTTTTATGGTTAATAACTGCATTTCATGATACTTGTAACACTCCGTGTTTTTAAGGAAAAAAGCTAAAAAATGCACAGAAAAATTTAATGTCCCGAAAGGCAAAGTATTATAAAAAATTTATCCAACCCAATCCCTTGGTCAGAGAGACCCAGTAGAAAGGTGCTGGAAGACAAGGGTACTTTTTGCTAATAAAAATTCCCCCCCTTTACATGTATCTCTTCAGGAATATTTGCTGTATTCTCAATAAATCTGTGCAATTCCACAACCTGCTATTTCTCAGAGTTGTTACTTACCCCAGTTTTATCGCAGAGACGCAAAGTATGAAACGACCCCACAGCAAATAACTCTCCATCCACGGCCCAGGCAACAGACGTTATAGGATATTCATGGGGCTGTGAGCTGTACAGCAGGCGTCCGTAACTGTCCCAAACCTTCAAAAACATTGAATATGTAGCTATATGAACACAGTTTGGAATACCTTTACTTATTCTAGAGCTACAAAGGCTGTTCCTAATCAATACTGGTCTGGTTGATGCAACAGCTTTTGCTTTGCTGCTATGGGAAATGTTACATTATTCTGTATAAAGCAGTTTGAATGAGTTTTGCTTCCTGCAAATTTCTGTAAGTCTGTAAAATAACCACCAGGTTTATTCTATTTGCACACACTTCCCAACAATGAGAGGCACCTCTGCACATTTCCAGACCAAAGAGATTTTCTCAGTGATTGAAGCCCACAGAATACCAGGGAGCCAATTCATGGGATGAATTAATTTGATTTTAACACTTTGCTGATTTTCTTTTACTTTTCTTATTTGTGTATGTTTTTATCACAGCCATTATACACTTAGAGAACGACAGAACTGACATATGATATCATTAAAAACAATTTCCTACTTAAGGGAAGAAAGACAATATGTGTTTTCCATTTGGGATACAGAATATTCTAACCAAAAAGTTTCCTAAGGGATTCGCTAATGCTCCTGGAATAGCAAACAGCAGCTTTATCTCCTCTAGTTTTAAATGTCATTACCTTTTCCAGTGCATGTCATCGCTTATATTGTTTAGTAATCATTTATATATCTTGACATATTTTCCTTTAGGAGTTTGTTTCACCTATTTTTATTCTGCTCTATCTTATGCTACTAGACAGAGCAAGATGTACATGCAAATAATAAAAATTAAGGTGGCAAGTTTTGTCTTAAAAACTGGAAGACTTCTCATTTAATTTTAAGCTCCCAAGTATTATTAAAATTAGAAAACATCAGAATGCTTAATATCTTTTTTGGTCATTTAGTTTCCCCTAAAATGTTAACCAGTACACACCTTGTATTTACAGTCTTCACCTGCAGAAAGAATAAGATCATTAACTGAGTTCCAGTCAGTTTTTAAAATAAGTCCATCGTGGGCCTTCCACTGAAATGGAAAAAATAAATTTAACACTGTTGTATGTCTGACACCTTCTATTTTTCATATTCCTCATTCATCTTCTATCAGCATTCATACACCCCATGCAGGTCAGGGTTTCTAACAGTACAAATGCAGAGATGTCATCCCTTCTGCAGAACAACAAATTAAATAAGCCTGAAGAAAGCAGAATGAAGGCAAAACCATCTGCATGAAAAGTATGTTCTGAACAATTGCTTCTCCCTTCTGCTTTTTCATCCTTTTCGTAACAAATGACAAGGGAAAGGCTTCTGTTATCTTCTTGCTTTTTCTTTCTTTACCAAAAGGGAAATGCTTTATATCAGAAGAATATCCACAGCAGAAACTGTCTCTTTTTTTTAATTTAGAGAAATGAGCAATCTCCTTATTCTCAAAAAAACTAAAGGGGGGAGGAGATGAGCAGTATACACGTTGCATGAAAAATTTTAGCACATTTTATATGATTAGCAAAACCCTAGATAACTGAAAAAAGTTTTCACATGGAAGTGTCAGACCACTTTAATGTATTAATGGTACCTGCAGAACTTTAGCATTTGGCTGAAGAGGTTTAATAATTAGCTGTTTCCCTGAAGTATAGAGAACTTTTTCAGAATCGGGTCCCCAGGCTACTGAGTACACTGGTGTTCCTGTAGACAGAAAGAAAAAATACCCATTTCTTATGACTTATCTGATCAAATTATGAAAAAACTGCTTAGCCATTTCAAACTGGCTACTTCAAATCATACATTAAAAATTCAGGAGTGGGAGAAAGTGAAAACAGGGGCAACTTTTTTCCTCCCCACTTGTCTGCCTGCACTTACAGCCACGTTTACCCATCACTTACTGTTTCAAACAGCCACAACAGCAGGAAGAGACAGACACAACCCAGAGAGACAACTCTGAAGACTTTAGCTCATGCTGCATACCCTTCCAACACTCCTCAAGGAACTAAAGATACACAGAGTGAAGTCCTGGCAAATTCACTAGAGCAAACCATCAAACACCTATCACTTTCAGTGGGGCCACTCTAAATTTAACTCCGAACAAGTCAACACTGTGCAAACCAAATAATGAATTACTGATTGTCCAATGCTACATCTGGGTTACTGACAACGTGCATGACTTTACTACTGCTATAGGTACCTCCTCTTCTCATACTGTACCTATCATTTTCTTTTTAAAGTGATGCATTGAAACTACTGGTTTTATCACAAGGTCTGTTCCAGCAGACTCTGACTACATTTACCACTTTCTTCACTTCATACTCTCTCTAAAGCCACTTCTGAAAGATGAAAATCACCAAATTTCTTCTTCTACTATGAGATTTCTTCTTCAGTCAAATCATCTTCATAACTAGACCATTTTGTTTCTTCACCTTCACTGTACCTCATGTATATAGAATCAGAGAGGTTTGGGTTGGAAGGGACCTTAAAGATCACCTAGTTCCAACCCCCCTGCCATGGGCAGGGACACCTTCCACCAGACCAGGTTGCTCCAAGCCTCATCCTGCCTGGCCTTGGGCACTCCCAGGGATGGGGCATCCACAGCTTCTCTGGGCAACCTGTTCCAGTGCTCCCACCCTCTCCGGGAAGAGCTTCTTCCTGATGTCTAAAGTTCTGATATAATCCCAACTGTTGTTGTTTCCCCAAATCTGACCAATATATTTCAAGATATATTTAGGCAAAATAAGATGTCATCATCCTTCTCACCTTAGGGTCACCTTTCATCTCTGAGGTGCTTCTTTCACACCCTGATGTACTGATTCCCTGGCTCATGGTTAACCTGGGCACCGCAAAGATTTGTCCTGCCCTTTCCATATGTACAATTTTCTTTATTATATCAAGTCCCTTCACAGCTAATTTACTTTTAAGGTCTATCTGCATGGTGGCATCTTTCTCGCAGTATTAAAATGTTAACTCTTGCCAAGTGATCAGTCCACAGTCAGCCTCCAATGCCCAGCTGTCAGACCTTCACATCTTCTCTCTTACTGTTTAGTTTGTAGACACTTCTACTACTACAAATTCCTACAAAACCATTTCATGTGCACCTCAAAACCGTCACAAATTAGTTTGCCAGAATACCTACAATATGTCTAACTGATGCTGAGACCACCAACAGTGATGCTGACCAATACCTCATTTAAAACCAGCAAATATTTGTACCAAAAGCAAGCCAGCAAGTCAGGTAGATGGTCCACCATGCCACCACCTAGCATTTTAATAGTTTTAATACTGCATCCTTCTCAAACCTCAGTATCTATTGCCATTCACCCTGCTATTCATTTGTAAAACTTTCTGTAAGTGAACAGTTTGACTCAACTCCAGAAAAGGAACAGTAACAGTGCATTTTGTATTTACTTCATCTTTTATACTCCGATGTAATTTTAGTCCTCACAATCGTTGCTTAAGAGATACAGAACATCAACATGACAACAGACATCAGAAAATAGCTCTTTTCACCTACAGTGGTGAGATTGAACAGAAACTGGGGTGGAAAAAGCTTTGATTTGCACCTAAATTATCCTCTGTAAAACGTTTAGACTCCATAAGTAAGCCTCTAACAAAACATGTCTTTGTTTTGCTGCACATACAAAAACCAACCATTCCATATCCGAGGGGCTTACAAAACAAACGACAACAAACAAAACCAGAAAGCCTGCGACTTCACGGATTCTTCCCAATTGATTGCAAATATTGTTTTGCAGATTGAGAACTCAATGATGTATCCAGAATAAAGCTGACGGTTCTGTTGGAAAAACATGGTACCTTGTAGTTTCCAAATTACCTTTTTTGAAAACGGAAGTAAAAAATTACATGGAGAAAGCATCCAGAGGAAAATAAATAAACCCAGACTTGCCAGCTAGGCAAGTGCTTTCCATAGCACTTGACAGGATTAGTCCCCCCTGCAGAAGAATCGAAGTAGTACGCCACTTGACTTTCAAAGACACTTTTGGCATATTAAGTTCCATTTCAGAAAATGACTCAGGAATATCTATTTATAGGAATATGTTGATGAGATTCAGGTACTTAAGCGACTGAATTGCTTTATCAACTGCCTAACATCATCTAATATCCCACCATATAAGCTTTCAAATTTTCCTTCTGAACAAGAACCTCAATTTATCACAGCCACCTCAATTCAGCACACTAAACTTGATCTGAGCTTCCAAGTACCCAGACTTTAGAATGAGACCTGGTGTCACTGAATATTTTTGTACTTCGTGTATTTTCTTTTAGGAAGGCATTTATTTTACGTTACTTAGAAATACAGAATGATGTAGGTTTTTTTTTTTAAACTTGTCACCCATTATAGGAGACAACTCATAGAAACACACAACATATATTATTAAATCTGGCACTAGCTGTTTTCCTACTGGCAGCAATTTATGTTGAAAATGACATAAATTCTGTCACCAGCTGTACAGAAATTCTAAATAAAACTAATTTTTGTCCTGCTCTAATGCTGATTTAACAATCAGAAGACTTTTATATTTAAACCAAATGTTTAACTTTTTTATGATGGCTGACGACTTAACCACAATTTCCAGGGCTTAACAGCAGGAGCTAAGTTAACTCATTTCCTTCTGCACTTAACAAGAACTTGGCTGGGAAAGGACTGCCAACACACTGCATTGCTGTGGAAAGAAAAATTCAGCAGAGGAGGCCAACTGCAATGAATTGCATAGGTGATAAACAGTTTCAGGAAAAAATACTCTGAGCAAAGACGCAAGAGAAGCAGAAAAGGTGAGATGTGAAGGACCATCAGCATTAAGCATACAGGGTGGGCTTCTTTACATCTCAGTGCTCTACTAGCAGTTGTTAATCCTCAGTGAATCATTCCCGTGGCCAATGCTTAGGGCAGAGAGAGCTAGGGTTGAGCGCCGGAGGGATGGAGCAGTCGCTCCGACACTTCCAGCTGCAGCAGACACTTTGGTACTTAAACCAGTAAGCCTGTGACTTTTTACTTTCACCCGAGTAGAAATATTCATTTGGACAATTTAATGTTGCTCTGTGGCAGCACAAAAAATAGGAGTTGCATTTGGAATACAGCTGTCCCTTAAAAACTAAGTTCCACTTCACAATGAACCCGTTGGAATTAAACTTTTTACATTGCAACTGTTGTGATTTTGCATTCATTAACCAAAAAGGCAAGCTATACACCAAGTGTTTCTATTAAACCTCAGTGCTTACTCAGCATATGAGTCACTGGAAGCCGCTCACAAAGTCAGCAGGGCTAGAAAAGTAGTACTTAAGAAAGGTACGGTCTTAAGAGGACTAGATGGCAAATGCAATCTGAAAGAAAGGTGACGGGAATCACCCCAAGAACTAGAAATCCATCTGAGGTAAAGTGGCAGAACGTGTGGCACAGAAACAACAGGTCTGTGGGTAACGAGACTTTGGGTGGATCCATGAGGTCTGCCTGCTGGCTTGCCCGTGAAGATCCTCAAGCCTTGGAGTTAAAGTTACCAGCAAAGCTGTCGCCTCCACTAGCGGGACAGGTGGAAGGAACGGCGCGGCAGAACGATCTCTGTTGTAGTGAGGAAGGCACAACTTGGCTGTTTTCAGCTTGACCAATATCCTTGACTCCATAGAGGACTCTGAGGGTTAGAGCCAGTGGTTTAAGACCCGCAGCAGTAGCAATTTTAGACAGACATGTCAGGAGAGGCTACGCAAGTGTGGACTCAGCGCTGGTCCCGCTAACTATAAAAATTTGTGCTGGTAGAGCCATCTTTTCTTTCAAATGTTCTTCATACATCCTACTCTTCATCATTCTGTGGCTCTCTCCAGAGGAACACGGACACTTTGAGTGCAGCGTCATGCTGCACTGTATGCACCCCAGAACAGGGAGAGAAACCCTCCTACTGCATAATCATGTGGGTTACCAACATATACCAAAGAGATCCATGCAAAAAAATTACCTCATTCAAACGTATCAGTGCATCGTGCCAACTGGAAGCCCAAAGGACTGCAAATACAGCATTTAAGAAAAACCAACTTTCAGTTTAAGGAAATGAGGAACAAAAGGAAGAATATTAGGATAATCTAAGAATGAAGAAGTGAGATCAGGCTCAAAGAACAACGCAACCGTAAGAGCTCGAGGCTGAATGCAGTAGAGGGTATGGGGTCACGCTAACTTTATTCCATGCATCGGCATGATGGAAGGACACACAGCCAGAGAGCTCCATGTGAGTACTGGAAAAGCTAAAAAAGGGAAATGTGTATGTTGATGTTTTTGTAGCGAATAAAAATCCAAAGACAGGATAGGTGTGTGAACCATCATCCAAAGATAAGAGCCTGAAAATCTGTCTAATACAAAGAGGGGAACGAGTAGAAAGAATGTTAGCAAGTGTAACCCTGTCATTTCTCAAGGAGATGATAATGTGAAAAATTAGCTCAAACATGCTGTACCTCTTTTAAACACAACAATTTCTGTAGAACCCTATCCTGACCCCAGGTACATCAGTAGCTTCCAGAGTGTTTTGTGGGAATCTGATCCTCTATAAAATTAAAGTTTAAAGGGTTTCTGAGCCTCACAGGATCTTGTCTTAAAAGACAAATACAAGACGACAATGAATCCATGGAGACTAATCTGTACATTTAGACTGTACAGGAACTCAGAGAAATCAATGAAAGTTCAGCTTGCAAGT